CTCTTTTTGCTGAGGAAGACTGGCCCTGGGCTAACATCCATGCCCATCTTCCTCCACTTTATATGGGACGCCACCACAGCATGGCTTGACAAGCAGTGTGTCAGTGCGTGCCTGGGATCCGAACTGGCGAACCCCGGGCCACCACAGCAGAGCACGCACTTAACCGCTTGCGCCACCGGCCGGCCCCTGGTTTGGGCCTTTTTACTGCTGAGTAGTATTCTATGGTATGGATATATCACATTTTATTTAACCATTCACCAGTTAATGGACACTGTTATTTAGTAACAGCCACTTTTTGGCAATTACGAAAAATGCTGCTTTGAAGATTTGCATACGCATCTTTGTGTGGACAGATGTTATTTTTCTTGGAGAGATACATAGGAATGGAGCTGACTGAGTACAGTAAGTGTGTGATTAACTTGACAAGAAACTGCGAAACTGTTTTCCAAAGCGATTGTACCATTATACATCCCCATCAGCAAAATATGAGGGTCCCAGTTTCTCACATCCTCGCCAACCCTTGCTAATGACAGTCTTGTAACATTTTAGCCATTCAAGCTAGGGTGTAGCGGGATCTCATTGCCAATTAAATTTACATTTCCCTCACGTCAAACATTTTTTCATGTCTTTAATGTCCAGTCATACATTGTCTTTGGTGAAGTGTCTGTTAAAATCGTGTGTCCTATTTATTAAATTGGGTTATCTTATTACGATGTTGGAGGAGTTGTTTACATTCTGGATGTTGTCAAATATATGTTTTACAAGTATTTTCTCAAAATCTGTTGCTTGCCTTTTCACATTTCTAATAGTTGACCCATAAATGTTTACATAAAGGTTTTATATAAAAATATATAAATATTTTTAATATTTAAGCACTAAAATAACCAGTTTGTTTTGTTTGGAAAAAAACATTTTTAGCATACTCTTATTTTATCCATAAAACATACTACTAGGATATAGCTATGTTTAGATACCAGTTCTGTATATCTGACATTCATCAATCAAACACCTGAAAAAAATTCCTCATTGCTTCTGTTATCAAATTGTCTCTTAAAATAAACCAAATGTTTGAATTAACTCAACACTGCTATCAAAATATCTAAACTATTACAACCAAATAGTCACAGAATCAATCTTGAGACTTTCCATTTCTAGAGATTTACTACAATTGGATTAGATAATTTGGTTTCTAGTTCTCCAAACGAACTCAAAACAAAACAAAAAATCTTTATAAGCCATTCTAATATCCAACTTGAATAATATAAGATAAAAGCTATAATTTATTGAGTTCCTACTTTGTGTCAGGTAAAGTAGCCAGACTTTTTATGAGTATTTAATCTTAAATACAACAAAAAAACCCTACAAAATAGGCATTATCCTACCCATTTTAAAGATGAGGAAATTGAGGCTCAGAGAGATTAAGTAACTTACCCCAGGTCACTCTAGAGCTAACAAATGACAGAATTGGCATTCAAAAGTCAGTACTTTTATCACTAGTTGTTACAGCCTTTTAGGGTAGGGTCTGATAGAGAAATTCTCAGGACAAAAGGATGACAGTATAGTGGAAAAAAAAAGCAGCTTCATAAATTTAAACTCTTACTTTTTAGTTGCTTTTATAACACTTGATGAATTCCTATAGTTGGGTATCATTAATGGTTTAGAATTCACCATTTTATAAATCTCTGGCAACACTGACCAGTAATAACAGAGCTGCTTCAAAGAAAGAACTGCAGAGCAGCAAGGAGGAAAGGAGTACCTGAGCTGGGATGTGGAGAACGGGGGCTCCACCGCAGAGGTTCCAGCCCGTGGCACGTGAAAGCAGCAGCCGAGGGAGCACACAAAGTGCTTCTTACCTGTTAAAGCGTGGGTCCGCATAGGCATCCGGAATGTTCAGGACTTCCCCTGTTCTTGCTACTTGGCCAGCAATCCCTTTCTCAATTGAAAATCTGCACATACAAAAGAGAGCGACACGCCAATTAAAACAGAGATGCTGTAAAATAATTTGAAACATTTCACCGTCACCAAATATTATATAAAAATGCACTGGTTTATTTTAAAGGCTTGCCTTAATTTTACATTTACATATTCCAAATCATATTTTTTATTATAAAATGTGTAAAGATAAAGCAGAAAAACATTGCATTTTAATCACTTGAGAATCTTGTTTTTAAGATATAATTCACAATATATTAAATTATAATGGACCGCAAATTGAAATTGAAAAATTAACTAGCATTCTCCTGCACTGACCAATAATAATCCTTTATATTTGCCAAGTACCTTGTAATTTACAAGGTGCTTCAACATAAATTTTATGGGTTCAGTAACTTGATAACATTCCTAAAATATTAGTGGCACAATAAAAATAAGAATGTAGGTTTACACCAGTATACTTTCCATCATAAATATAAACAAACTCACAGGTTATGTCTGATTTTGAAACACTACACAGGACTAGCATTTTAAGGCATTTGCAACACAAGTACTACATAAAAATAACACAATTCACAATTTCTAGTATTCTTACTTTTCTAATTTGTTAAATTTAAAAACAGTCAAAATCAAACATTATCTGATTACACTTAATTATGTTTTGATATTTTAATATCACCATTTTCTTATATAAATACATTCTCATATTTATAGTTTTCTCATTATCAAATTATCATCATACATGCACTCCTTTTGAAATTTAGTTAAGAATGATGTGTACAATCCACATTATCTATGCATTTCAACAGCTTAAATATAACTTTCATAACACTACATTTTCAACATTATAGAAAATAATCATTATTGAAATACAGCTCCACCCTAAGGCTTCTCCCTAAGGAAAATTCAAAAGAGAATTGACACAAGAGAGAATTAACTTTCTTAAAACACCCATAAGTGAACCCAAGATTGCGTAAAATGCAGGTTGATTTCGTCCAGGTTTTCTTGAGCTTTGCGCAACACGAACACAACAAATTATGCAAAGAGCATTAGGATCCATTTCATGACTTATGCTTGACTTTCTCGGTCAAGGATAGTCTGAACTGTAACCTTGATTCAGCTCTCTGTGGTCTGCTAACTCAGGTCAGTGGAAGCCATAATTAAGAAGCACGGCCTCACATAAACGGTCAGCTGAGAGAGAAAGAGCCAACCACATCGCCCTCACTATTTCTCCCGTGTGTGTAAACACAGGCTTCAAGTTACTATCTTTAAAATGAGATCAATACCAGCACCATGAGGGAACACTTGAATCTTCAGCAAGAGAAATGACTTTACCTAAATAACTATATTCAGACTGATTTACCGAGATGTAAAACACAAACAAACCAAAAATAAAATAATTTTTTTAAAAAACCTAACTAGTGCCTATAAGTCAGAGTGATGTGGGTATGGCATACAGGAGCCATCTCCCTGGGACTGCAGAGGGGCAGTGCCCAGGCGGGCAGTGGTGAGGGCTGGTGGGGGACCACACTCTGTGTCTCCTTCACACCTGCCTAGTTCCCTTATATGACAGACGGCCCAAATGAACAGCAATTCTTAATTAATAAGGAACAGCGTTGTCCTAGAATGTTGTAATTACCAAAGCCCTTTAGAGTGTTTTGTGGAAAAACAGGTAAACAAGATACACAAAGCAAAAGAAATGCAAATGTCTTAAAAAAAACTCAATTGTTGAATGTTAAGCTTGATTCTTAAAAGTTTTGTGACAGTGCTCCTTGTAGGTGTTCAGATTGTGATAGGGTTGAGCCACCATGCCTGTACCAGCCACACAAACTCCATTCTGTTCATTTGAGTGACAACAGCTGCCACTTAAAGAACAAAGAAGGCTTCAGTTTTGAGATGCAACAGAAGCGTCCTCTATGATCAGCTCAACCAACTGTTGGGTGATAGAATAATGTGCTGAAGTCATTAAATATACCAAGTCCATTTCCACTGGGGACTGGACTTGGAGACAGCCCCAGAGGTTGGGAAGGGGTGGGGGCCAAATGTTTAAGTACACTCTTGCTCCTAGCCACGGGAAAACCTGCCGACTCCAGGCGGGGTGCACCTTTACCTACCTGGGAGCACTAGTAAGTTTTTCCAACATGATTTCCAAAAGGACCGCCTCCGGAAGACGGCATTTCCAGGAGTGACGCTAAAGCTTCCTAGGCGCGGTTTCGCTGGCACTGCCATGTCATTCCCAGAAGCACTACCTTCAGGAGGCGGGTCCTGGTGGGAATGATATCACAGTATGACAAGTACTGTCAGCACACCTGTGAACAGGCACAGAAAAGTGGGTGACAGAACACCTGCACAGCGCAAACACAGCAAATCGACAGTCCACTTCTAGCTATACCTTATTTCTTTGGTCTTCTTGAAGATGGGCTTGCCTTCTTTTTCCTCCCCGATATCAAAGAGGTCTGAGTATAACTCCTTGTTCTTATGGTCCACCTGGAAAAGTGCACAACGATCGGCATTCACCAGGTTTTTTGCATATATCTAAAGACAAACAATAAAACAAGGGTAAGCCAATGAGAAAGTCAAAGAGTACACAGGTAAACTTTATCAGAAATAAATACTAATTTTGGCTATCCTATACTTTAATTGGGTAGGAAATTAGCAATTTAAGTAAATAAATATAGGTATTACAAACACACACACAAAAATATACGTCACTGTCAACGTGCTAACACTAGCAGACACCAACACGAATAGACAAGCAGCAGCTATGCGTCCATGCCGTGGTGCTGGATGCTGAAATACGACAACACTTCCGCATGAGTTGGAAAGCAGCTACTGGCCTAACTCCCTAAGAACCTCTCTGCCACCCTGTCCCTCCGCCAGAACCTCTCAGGCCTCCCTGGTGCTCTGGTCTGAGCCTCTGTCAGCTCTAAGGCCAGTATCCATTCTGATTGGTTGGTGTTTGTGACACACCAGTTGTAAAAAATATGAAATATAACTTCTAATGAGACACAGAATTCATATCTACATTAGTTACATTTTATTTGCTGTGCTAATAATGTATAACAATTATTAAGTGTTTACTATGTGCCAGACACTTTTTATATACTTTATGTGCATCAATTCATTTAATCCTCACAATAACAATATGAACTCAGGGAACATTTTTATCTCCACTTTACATATTAGGAAAATTGAGGCACAGAGAGGTAACTTAACTTGTCTGCTATCAGATGGCTAGTAAATGATGGATCAGGTACCTGCACTCACACTAGATGTTTACATGGCCTGTGCTCTTATAACAAATATGCTCTTCCTCTTCTGAATGGAAAACTACGTATTCACTTCATCATTCATTCGTTCATCAATTTCCTTCAACAAGTATATCTTTAATGCCTAACACATCCCACTTTCCCCAGTGGGTTGGGGCTACAGTTATGTTGCAAATACAATAGTTACCTATATTGAGAATTCTGGCAAACTCAACTATCCAGATGACAGACATGAAATTATTCCTCAGAGACAAAGAATTAATTCTCAGAGAAAAACAGCCATCATAGACTCTATGCAAGAGGGAGATGGGCCACCTTGTGGCCAGAGGAAAATATATAATCTCATGTGAAATTGGTTCATCCTCATATTACATGCTTCTCTTTACTGCTATTATAAATTGTACTCATTCACTCAACAAATACTGACTGTGCCTAATATGCCAAGGACTGAGTATACTGGATATTATATCAGAACTTCCAGTTTATTTGTACTCCATAGCCTGTGAGTTCTGTGATAGCACAAACTGCTTCGTTTTTCCCACAGTATTCCAAATGCCCAAAACAAGTCCTAGCATAGAGGTCGGCTAACTATAGTCCATGAGCCAAGTCCAGCCCATTGCCTGTTTTTGCAAATCTTAGTAGTATTGGGACACGGCCATGTGCATTCCTTTATGTATTGCTATGGCTGCTACAACGGCATAGTTGAGTAACTGCAATAGACTATGGCTCATGAAGCACAAAACTTTACTATTGGACCCATTACAAAAAAGTTTGCCAACTTTTAGCTTAGAACATATGAGATCTACATAACCTAAAAATTCTCAGTAAATATTTGAGAAAGGAAGAACGGCATACAGGTAGGGAGAGAGTGATGGGACTGTGTTGTTGGCAAATACAGAAGAATCACCCATTTCTTTTGCAAACTTGTGATATCTTGATTTATTAAATAATGATCCTGCACTATTGAAGATTAAATTACATACAGTAAAATTTGCATCCCTAGTGCCTAGGGTCATGTTAGTTGCTTAATACTTTGACACAAATTTATGTTAATAATTATAAAAATCTAGATGAAATGAACAATTTTCCGGAAAAATGATGTGAGTTTAGAAGGAGTTGAAAATCTGACTAGAACCCGAATCATAAAGACAACTGAAATATTGTCAAAGAATTTCCCCGTAAAAGGCATCAGGCCCAAGTGATTTCAAATACCAGTTATTTAAGAATCTTCAACAACTAAATTTCCATCCAGTTTAAACTGTTCTAAGTTCAGAAAGAACAAAACTTCTCCAGTTATTTTTATCACTCCTGCTATGCCACTGATACTGAAAACTGGCAAAGACACTATAAAAAAGAAAATCATAGACCAATTTACCTTGGAAACAGAAGCAAAGTCATAAATAAAAATATTAGCGAATCAAACAGGAATAAATTAACAAATATTATAATATTTAAAAATTACAATTTATTCAGAACTGTTCAGTATCATAAAGTCTATTATAATTCATAATAGCAATAAGAGAAAGGAGAAAAATCATATGATTATCTTTATGGTTGTCAAATGTATGTGATGAATTTCAGCAATCATTCATGATAAAACCTTTAGCAAAATAAAATAGAAAAATATATATAGAGAGAGATCCTAACAATATTTTCCTGAAAACAACAGTCTACATCATAGCAATTGGTAAAATTTCAGAATCGTCCCATTTAGGTTAAGACATTAAAGTGAAGAACAAGACAAAGACTTGTTATCATAATTATTAATACACAATTAGGTAAGAAAAAGATGAGCATGTACATATTTGAAGAGACAAAAGTTTTACTATTTGGTGATAATGTTACTGAATATGTTGAAGAAATAAAAAAAATCAACTGGAAAACAATTACAAGTAGTAAGAAAGGCTTCTCTTTTAAGATGAGTAACTCTAAACATGTTTACCTTTTCATTCTCCTTAAATATTAAGCTTTCAGTTTGAAATGACATTCACACGCTGAAAAGGAACTAATAAAGATATCCTAGACATATTTCGTTAATATTTATGAACTCCAAGCATCAGGTCATTTTAAAAAGCCCCCTCCCTCTCCTATACACACTCACAGGCCCACAAACTCACCAACATGTTTACTTATAAGTAAAAAACAATTCTTGGGCCTGGCCCAGTGGCATAGTGGTTAAGTTCACGTGCTCTGCTTTGGCAGTCCAGGGTTCGCAGGTGCAGATCCCAGGTGCGGACCTACACACTGCTCTATCGAGCCATGCTGTGGTGGCACCCCACATACAAAATAAAGGAAGACTGGCACAGATGTTAGCTCAGCCACAATCTTCCTCAAGCAAAAAGAGGAAGATTGGCAACAGATGTGAGCTCAGGGCCAATCTTCCTCACCAAAAAAACCCCCCAAAACAAAAAAAAAAACCAATTTTTGATAGCAACAGTGAATTTAAAATTCAGTGGAAATACATCTTCAAATTTCTGAGGAAAACTTACTTTAAACCCAAAATTCTTTACCAAGTCAAACTAGGATTCAATCATAAGGCAAAATAAAGATATTTCAGAAGTACACAGAACTCAGAAAACTACTACCTTTGAACTGTTTGGGAAAGGGAGATGTGCTCAAGCAAAAATAAACAAATAGATAAATTCAAGAAAGCATGGGAAAATTTGGGTGACAAGAAAGAGTGATGAGCAAAGAAACCACTAAAGCTATAATGAAACTGTAAAATTTGTTAGTAAATGATATCTAAGAAATTACAGATGTAATATAAAAGAGTTAATTAAAAAACAGACCTCACATATCTGATTGTGTCAAAAAACATATAAGCTTAGCAGGTAAAACAGGAGGAAGTTGGGGCAAGCCCCGTGGCATAGTGGTTAAGTTTGGCACATTCCACATAGGTGGCCTGAGTTTGCAGGTTCAGATCTTGGGAACGGATCTACACCACTCTTCAGCCACACCGTGGCAGCAACCCACACATAAAGTAGAGGAGGACAGCACAGCACAGATGTTAGCTCAGGGCTAATCTTCCTCAGCAAAAAAAAAAAAGGAGGAAACAAAAGTATGCTATTTTTTTTATCTTGTTAGCAAAGTTCATGATGACACAGACACTGATTATTTATTAAGTGAGCTTAGAGCTGGCAGGGCTAGCTTTGTCATCTTGTGGGAAGAGACCTCCAGAGAACAAGGACCACGCAGAGTGGGGCCAAACACAGAAGGGCATATTCCTGAAAATATAACTTGAGCCCCAAGGTGCAGCAATTATAGAAGTCTGAATATTCAAGGACTCTTCAGTGATATGAGCCAGGCACTTTCTCCTTTTATTTTCTCAAGCTAATTTGAGTTATGTAGTTGATATTTTTGCTTACACCAGAGTCCTGATTAACAAACAAGCTCAAGGAAAGTCTGATAAGAGAGAGAGAGAGAGAGAGAGAGAGAGAGAGAATCTTGATTAATTGCATAATTGCATGAGGAAGAAAATATAAGTACAGATCAGAAGGATATTTAAAGTACCTACAGATTTACAAAAATCAATTTGGAAGTCCCATTCACTAACTTGCAACTAGCAACAGAGCCACCTCACCACAGAGCATTTAAAAAATAGTGAGGCAGGACCGGCCCCATGGTGTAATGGTTAAGTGCACGAGCTCTGCTGCTGGCGGCCTGGGTTCAGATCCTGGGTGTGCACTGATGCACCGCTTGTCAGGCCATGCTGAGGCAGCGTCCCATATAAAGTAGAGGAAGATGGGCACAGATGTTTAGCCCAGGGCCAGTCTTCCTCAGCAAAAAGAGGAGGATTGGCAGATGTTAGCTCAGGGCCGATCTTCCCCACAAAAATAAATAAATAAAAAAGTAAAAAATTTTAAAAAACCCAAAAAACAACAATTCCATTTATAATAGCATTAAAAATTAAAATACTTGGAAATAATTTTACCAAAATAAGAGCAATACTTACACTCTGAAAATTACAAACCACTGTTGAAAAAAAGTAAGACAATCTAAACAAATGGAAAGACACTCATGTTCACGTATCGGAAGACTTAATATTGTTAAGACAGCAACATTCCCCAAATGGATCTGTGGATTCAACACAATCCCTATCAGAATCCCCTCTGAATTCTTTGTAGAAATTGACAAGCAGATTTCTAAAATTTATATGGAATTGCAAAGGACCCAAAACAGCCAAAAAATATTGAAAAAGAAGAACCAATATGGAGAACTCACACTTTTTGATTTCTAAACTTTCTACAAGGCAACAGTAATGAAGATAGTGTGGTACTGTCATTAAGACAGACATATAGATCAATGGAATAGAATTAAGAGCCTAGAAATAAAACCATATGTCCATGCTCAACTGTTTTTTGACAAGACCATTTAAAGGCAAAAGAGTAGTCTTTTCAACAAATGGTGCTGGTAAAACTGGACAGCCATATGCGAAAGAATAAAGTTAGACCCTTACACCATAAACAAAAATTACCATAGATCAAAATTCTAAATGTAAAAGCCAAAGCTATAAAATTCATAGAAGAAAATATTGGAGTAAGTTTTTATCATCTCTGATTTGGCGGTGGATTCTTAAGTATGAAACCATAAGCATGAGCAACAAAAGAAAAAAATAGATAAATTGGACTTCATCAAAATTAAAACCTTTTGTGCTTCAAAATACACTATCAAGAAAATGAAAAGACAACCCACAGATGGAAGAAAATATTTGCCAATCATAAATCAGATAAGAGAGCTGTACCTAGAATATATAAAGAACTCTTACAACTCAATAGTAAAAAGACAAAGAACAATTAAAAAGCGGCCAATGGATCTGAATAGATATTTCCCCAGAGAAGATATACAAATGGCTAATAAGCACAAGAAAAGATGTTCCACATCATTAGTCACTAGAGAAACACCAATCAAAACCACACTGAAATAGCACTTTGCATCCACTATGATGGAAATATCAAAAAGTCAGATGATAACCAGCGTTGGTGAGACTGTGTAGAAATTGGAACCCACATGCATTGCTGGTGGGAATGTCAAATGGTGCAACTGCAGTGGAAAACAGTTTGGCAGGTCCTCAAAAAGTTAAACATAAAATTCCCACGTGACCCAGCAATTCCACTCCTAAGTATATAATGAAAATAACTGAAAACAGGTATTCAAATAAAAAATTGCACATGAGTGTTCAAAGCAGCACTATTTACATTAGCCAAATCATGGAAACAACCCAAACATCTATCAGCTGATGAAAAAAAAGGGGTATGTATATCTATACAACACAATATTATTCAAGCATAAAAAGGAATGAAGAAGTGATACATGCTACAACATAGATGAACTCTGAAAACATCACACTAAGTGAAAGAAACCAGGCATGAGAGCCCGCAAATTATATGAATCCTTTTATATGAGATGTCTAGAATAGGTAGATCCAAGGAAAAAGAAAGTACACTAGTGGTTGCTTAGGACCGGGGGGTGGAAGGTACAGGAGCGTAGAGAGCTGATGGCTAACGTGGTATGGAGTTTCTTTTTGAGATGATGAAAATGTTCTAAAGGGGACTGGTGATGGTTGCACATATCTGTGAACATACTAAAAACCACTGAATTGAACACTTTAAATGGATAAATAGTATGGTATGTGAATTATATCTCAATAAAGCTGTTTTAGAAAAATAATATTAATAATACAAGGACTAGTCAATAATTGTTTCTTGTACTCCTAGTACAAGCTCTATGTCTGTCCATATTATATCTTTATATTTTTGTATTCTTCTTAATACTTTTCCATGCTTTACAAATTCCTTAAATTTTGTCTTAACCAAATAAGTTAGTTTTTTACTGTGCAATAAAGTGTTCTCTTTTTTGTCCAAATAAAACCATCAATATAATTACATAAAGAATGTAATAGCTTCTAATATAAAGTAATAACCTGTAATGTTACTCTCTAATTACCCTCAGTAAACTTTCTGTCTCTACAATACATTGAGCATATCACACTCCATACTCGCCCACCATGATATCAAAGAGAAATAGATCAGTGCCCATCACGAAACCTGGAAATGAGGAAACCCTTACTGGAGAGAACTACTATATTTTGAGAAAGACCAGGGAAGGAGAAAGAATATTTATCAAAACATACAACAGGGCACGAATGGTACCAAGCAAGCCTGGCCATCATGGGGCACACATACACATCACTTTGACTACTGGAAGCCTCTTCTTTAATGGAATCTCGCCACAGCACTAAAGCAGCAGCACAGAGAAATATGGATAAAGCTCCACTTGTAGGCTTTCAGCTCCAGAGGCCTATTAGCCTTCTAGAAGAGACACACAATTAAGACTAAAACTGAGTAGAATGAACCTCAAGATCAGGAAGAATTAGTTGGGAATTCCTAATAAACCTATATGCAACAGGCATTTTGTAGATTATGAAAAGAAACCAAATGTTATTTCAAAGTAGAGCTTGCCACTAAATAATGAAAAGCTCAGATAGTTTTCAAGACTTTATTTAAAACCCTCCAAAATTAATAGAAGTGACAAATAAAGTGAGGCCTCCAGATCACTAAGCGCTCCTTTTTCGTCATATTTAAAACAGCTTGCATGTCTAATACATTAAAATATTCCACCATACATTAGGACATAAATCTAAGGGTTAAATAAAATCATTTTCAAAACAAAAGGCAACCTACCATTATGTGTTCAAGTAGAGAATCTATTGCGACTATGTTATCAAAATATGTTCTGGAAAAAAGAAACATAAAACCTGTAAGTAATCTTATTTAGAACACAGAACATATTAAACTTTGAATACATTTCCCAGTTTTGCCTACATTTAAATAAAAAACATAAAGATATATGTTGTTTGATTTTTGTCCTTTTAGGAAAACAACCAATAAGATTATTTCAAAGAGATAAAGGAAACTTTATCATTGATTTTAGTATGAAGACTCTAATTCCAGAAAATGTATTAAATAACTGTTTTATTGGTAAATACCAATATAGAGAGAAAGTTTGTAGCATTCAACTAAAACTATGAAGGAATACAACTGGGTTCACCATATTTAATATTTTCATTAATAACTTCGATCTGAACTAAAAATATTTAAATTTGCTACATCTCATTAATATGGTTAAAATGTAAATTATCACTGGAAAACTGAAATGTTAAAATGAGTTTAACTGTACTGAGAAAGCAATGTAATTCATTTGAGAAGAAATATCAAAATATATGTAATGATTTGTATTTAATGACGTCACTTAATGAGTTCACACAGTAAAATATATATTCATTTTTATGAACAGCAAGTAAATATTTTGGAGGTGTATGGTATATATATTAAAATGTAAACTTGATAAACAGATGAATCAATAGGCATGTATTTTAGGCAATATGTAAAGAAGTACTCTTACTATAGCATCTGTTCGCAAGGTACTGCTTTCAGCGTAGGTTTGTGTAAACTTAGCAACGTACTCAGAATTAAGATAACCCATAGTAATACACAATGCCTTTCATTTAAAAGACAAATTATTTACCTTAAGCCACTAAGGCCTAGAACATGCTTAATTACCCTGTACAGTGAAGAATGTACTGCAAGAAAGATGGTAAAGTAAATGGATTTCCTGCTGGGGAATCGATTTAAAGTGTCACATGAGGGATTTAATTAGACTTCGGAAGACTTGTAACATATTCAAACACATAGGCAAGAGAAGGTGCCCAGGTTCCCTTTGTATGTGTTTTGAGGTAGTAATATCATGTGCCCCAGAGCTATTGTTTAATTCTGTCCCAAAGATAGTTGACCTAAGAAATCAAAAGAGAGCTCTTTTAGTCCCATATTTCTCTAATTTTATATTTCAGAAAATAAGTGTAACATGAGGCAGCAACTTCAGACTAATTGATCATGGGGATCAAGATACTTATTGATGAGTAAGTTATTAAGTGCTGCCCAAGTGATAAGTGAGAGAAAACAGGATCAGAGTCGCTGCCGGCAGCTGTGGAAGAACAGATACATTATTTCTTTAGGAAACTTGTCAGAGGACATGACCCCAAAGTTATCACGTCTTGGGGCATTTTTCAGATTTCAACAATTAAGCAGATAGGTCAGACATATAGAAGATCTTCCCTGTAGCAAGCAAAACCAATATGAAGCTAGAATTTAATAAATATCTGTAATCGCTTCCACTGCCAGCCCAAGGGAGTTTTTCTAGGTTGAACTTGAGAGAAATGGAACATTTTCCCTAAAATGATATCTGAGTTACTATACATGGGAAAATTAAAATAATAATATTAATACTATGGTCTGATTTACTGACATTTGTAGAAATGCCAGAGAGGACTTTTTGGAAAATAATAAACTAGAACATTTCCTCTCCTTTGCTTCGATTGCTGTCTGTTTTCTCCTACAAAAATAGAAATACTTAGTGTCTTTAACGTGTTATTTTGAAAATATACACGAAATTGCAAATTAAGATCATCACCTATACATCTGCAACCCTTCACTTGTAAGGTGAACATGGATGAGATTGTAGCTCTATGGTCCAAAATACGATCAACCATTCTAACCAGACTACTTGCACAGTGAAGACTGATCTTGCGTTACTGACTGCAGTGGACAGCAGCCCGTTACCATCAGGGCCTGCACTTAATTTAAACCGTCGATCAATGGGAGCTGCCACGTCCCTGGAACGAACGCTTACTTTGATACGTCGAGTAGAAAGTCATTCAGTTCAGTCTGCTTGGCAAGGCCTCTGCATACCTGCCATATAAAATAATGGCTATTAATTATAAGAGATTTCTGCCGATTTAAAAATAAAAACTCCAGAATACTGTTTACCTTATTTTATTGTAGAAGGCATAACACAATCACTCTTGTATATAATGTAATAATATCAGTGACAATTCATATTTATTGAATGCTTGTATGTGCTAAGCAGTGTTTGAAGTACTTTATTATCTCATCTAATCACCACAAAACACTAGGGATTTTGGATTTATCTTTTTTTATTTTTTATTTTTTTAAAGGTTTTTTTTTTTTTTTTCTCCTCCAAAGCCCCAGTAGATAGTTGTATGTCATAGCTGCACATCCTTCTAGTTGCTGTATGTGGGACGCCGCCTCAGCATGGCCGGAGAAGCGGCGCGTCGGTGCGCGCCCGGGATCCGAACCCGGGCTGCCAGTAGCAGAGCGCACGCACTTAACCGCTAAGCCACGGGGCTGGCCCTGGATTTATTTTTATAATTGAGGCATAAAGACATTTAGAACCTCGCTAAGTTCCAGAGTTGCTAAGTGACGGAGCCAGCCTTAGGATCCAGACGTTCCACCTCCAGAGTCGCTCATTAAATCTACTTCATGCTTTAAAATATTGTCCTTGGGCACATGTTCCATCTATGCTTGATGTCAGATCTGAGAAGTCCTTGTTCCCCACACTATTATCCTCTAACCATATATTTTTTCTCTTTCTATCATACAGTTCCTCATCAACCTCAGTTTGCTGAAATGGACTTAAAAAACAAAACAGCAACAAAAGGAGCAGTGGAAGATACAAAGCAGAACTGTTTTGCTACTCTGTTCCTGAACTTGCAAGTCTAGTTACCAGTAATATTCCATGTAGTTGGTGATCTTTTAAATTAGATCATATTTTCAAGAGAACCAGGTATCTTAAATGTAAGATTAATGTTTTCATATACCATTTAGTTTAGAGGATTCTTTATTTAGGAAATGGAGTCATAAAAATATCAATGTTACTGCCGGTAAGAGATAGTTCCTGGGCTTTCAGTGGAAAACAAAAGCCATAATAGGACACATACCATTTATCGCATAAATGATTTACAACTATATATAAATATATAAAAATAATTGCAAGATATTTAAGGCAAGGAGTAAGTAAATAAAAGTGAATAGATAAAAAATTTTAGAAAAAACAAAATATCTAATATCCAAGAATAAGCACCAGGTTACTTATCGGCCTCCACTCCACTCCCCAGTGCTGCACTGTAAACACTCTTGTCTCTTAGGAAGCCCCCGTGAAAACAGCTCAAACACACACCTGCACCTGATGTATTGCTACTGAAGCCCAGGCAAGATTTGCTGTTGCGACCTAAAAAAAAGGAGGAAACAAGTTTTTATTAGTCACATGCAGACATCCCAACAACGGACCATAGCATAAATGGATATGAAGAATTTTCTGAGGTCAATGATGAGATGTTTCCAAAACTTTGCTGACACGTTCTCAGATTACTAGCTATTCTTCTTTTATTATTCATTCATTTAACAAATATTTACTGGGTGCCTACTGGGTACCAGGCCTATTCCAGATGCTGGAGACACAGCATCAACAACAACAACAACAGAACAGCTTACAGCGTACTGGGAGGAGAGAGAAAGACAAGAAAGAAAAGAAGTGAAGTGCACAGTCTATTAGCTGATGACAGGGGCGTCAGAGAGGCACAACAGAGAGGAAAGGAATGCAAGACAGGAGCTGCTCAAGTCTACACGCAGTGTTCAGGGAAGGCCTCACTGAGAGGGCGACATCTGAGGACATTCCTGAGGAGGTGGCTGGGGTGGGGACGATGAGGACAGCGCAGTCCAGGCAGAGGGAGAACAGATGCACAGGCTCTGACTAGGAGCGTGTCAGCCTTGCTCAAGGGTCTAGACTGACTGGAGGAAAGCCGGAGGCTGGGGGAGCAGGAGACGGGTCATCCTGTAAGTGGACAGGACTTGGGCGTATACCGGGTGTGACAGATAGATCACTGTAGTATTTGGTTTTAGTATTAATGAGACAATTCTGATTCAGCGAATAGTAAATGGAACCCACTGTTTGCCAAATGGATTTGATGCTGGAACCTTCATTCAGGACACACTCTAGGAATTTTAAAGAAGACATGACGTCAACCAGGATGTGAGAACTCTCCAAAGTCATCCTACTACTATATCTGATTCACAATGTGGTATATTTTTATTTTTATTGTTAAAATGGATTTTTGCTAAAATAAATGAGTATATTTCTAATTTAATCAGTTTCTTCTGTAAATAACTGCAAAACAACAAAAAGTCTTTAAAAATCATTATTATTAGTACAGAAACATTGTTAAGCAAATCGTGGTTTTTAAGTATTCATTCACTTATTCACTGAACGGTATTAATGAGCTCCTTGGATGGCCTAGGTACAAAGAAAGTCCTGACAAGCAGTGTTCAGGCCTCACCTCCTGATGACTGAGACAAAAGGCCTCTTTGCCCCAGTGCCGATACAGCTCAAGGATACCGATCAAATCACCAATCGCAGTGACAATTGGTAAACAAAGAACAGACTGGATACGAGTCCCTGATTCCAGTCCAGTACCTCTTGGAAATCTCTCATCCTGAGAAACAAAAGGGGAAAAGTTATAAAATCAGTGAAGGAAATGGAATTATTAAGTTATGATTCTTATTTCTATCAGAAATTGCCTAATACCTGTCATGAATAATAAGCGGTCCTTTTCAAAGGAAAAGTGAATGATGATGGCCGTTATACTCCTTGTTTAAGAAAATGCTTATCTTTAGCAACATGGAAGCTATACCTGAACACTGCTTTAATGTTTATTTCTGTACAGTAGAATTTAATGAATGAATGAATATATATTAATTTCATTTAATAATATAAGTAATTACAATGGGTAACATTCATTTATCCATCAGCTTCTATGTGCCAGAACTCTTCTGAGCACTCTCCAGGTATAATGTCACAAGTGAAAATAACTCCAAATATAAATAACCATAGGAAGGAAATTATATATAAAATTTCTTTCTCTTCTATTTTTACAGTTAGAATAATACAAAAGCATATGTTAATGATAGTCCTTCTCATTGAACCTCAAAGGCCCATATTAACTATTCAAATAATCCAATAATTATCAATTACTTATCATAAGAAATGAAATTGGTTCTTTGACTTTAATAATTTTCTAGCTTATCAAAATCACTCAACAAAATATAGGGTAGTCAAATGAATTAATATCAACACACCAATTCTATTTATTCAATTTCTGCCATCTGTAGGAAGCTTTTCACAAATCAAGAATAGTACGAATCTACACTTATAACAACAGATCTTTTGAAGGCTTGTATGTAATATAGAACATTTTCAAATGACAACTTATACAGAATTTACTTTTAACATTTACTTTCTAAAATTGAACTATATTTGACATATAACACTAAGTTTAAGGTGTACAACACGTTGATTTGAGACATTTCTATATTTGATACATAATATGATTGCCATTGTAGCATTAGTACCTCTTATCACATCATATAATTTTCTTTTGTGTGGTGGGAGTAATTAAGATCTTAGCAAGTTTGATGATTATAGTACAATATTGTTGTCTATATTCACTATACTGTGCAACCTTTACTTTTAACCACTTTTTCTTTTTGATAAAGTAACTAGTTGCCTGATTTGTTCAAGGTCATATAGATATTTAGTGGCAAAACCAATGTTAAAACCCAGATTTCATGCCTTCAATTGAGCACTTCTTCAGAGCAAATTCATTAAACCTATATATTTGTTTGTATAGTTGTCACTTTTAAAGTCCAAGCTTACGTAGTGACATTTCATCATAGTGCTCACGTGCACTGTGGAAGACTGCACTAAGGGCTCCATCTGCCACGTTCCCTCTACCCATGTCCTTCGTCAGTACCCTCCAACACTGAGTCTGGACCAACCCACATGATTTGCTCTGGCTAATGCAAGGGTAGTAAATTTGATGCAAGCGGAGGCTTGAAAACTTATTTGCATGTTTCCACTTCTTCTCTCGGACCCCTGACACCATCATAGGAACATGCCAAGCAGCCTTACTAAGGGGGTCGGGGAGAACACATGAAGAGCTAAAGCCATCTGAGACTAGCCAGCTCCTAAGTGACGGCCAGTTAATCTCAGACACATAAGCAAGCCCAGCTGAATATTGCCTAGATCAGCAGAACAGCCCAATCCATGGCACTCATGAGAAGTAACAAGTGGTTGTTGTACGATGCTACTAAAATCTGGGGTAGTCTGTCACACAGCAATAGCTAACTCATTCATATATATCCTGCTAGGATATGAAACACAAAACAAGAATCACTTAGTTTACATAAATATCAATACACATTTTTATGCTTAACTATACTGGCATGTATTGAAAAATAAGAACTATTCAAATCTAGCTCAATAGGTACATAAAATATACCTATTAACGTTTTCTGAGTACAAAAAATTAGTTTACCTACAAACTCATTTATTTATCTGTATCTTGTTTTAATGCTTTCATAAAATGGCCTAAATTATGACATCAAAATGATACGTCTTTCTTAATACTTCAGGTTACAAATGTCACAAAGAGTAAAAAGGCCATTTACCCCAAGGATGTCTTCTACTAGCAACGTTTTTCTGGACTTGGCCACGTAAGCAGAGATAGTGGTGCCCTGGGCAATGGGCCCAGCAGGGATCAGCTGGGGTTTTCCTTCCTTGATTCCAGGTGGGGTGAACACACATAGGCTCTAGGAAGAAGAAAAGAGCATGTTTTACGGACTTTCTTGCACACTGGCACAGTACAAAAAGACTCCTAGATATTACTTAATAGTCACAAGAAATCTGTGAGCCAAGGAAAAGGAGAGACATAAAATGCGAAATGGGCTTTGCAATGATCAAACCGGAATATCTGAGTTGAAATTCTCTCTCACATTTCCAATGCACACAAAGTACAGGCTAGATTAGGGCTTGAATGTCTAGGCACAGAAAAACTCTTAAAATAGACTTGTATTTGGATACATAGAAAATAATAAAATGAAAAAAAGGAGGTAAGCTATCCTTGGGCTCAAGATACTATCATACAAGAAACAGACTCACATTGGGCCCAGCCTCCCTACGGACTTGGCACACAGATCTGAAGGCAGGATCAGTAACTAGTATTCCGTAACTAGTAATCAAGTCAAAGTGATTTGCTTATATTTTTCATTTTCATTAAAAATCTTTCTTTCTCAGAACGTTATTTCTTTTTTTTAATATTCAATCACTCCATTCCTTAAACTGGCCTTCCCATGAAATTACAGATTCAGAATACTCCTGATAAAAACTTTGCTCTTCTCTGCACAAAAAAATTTGGACAAATCTGGGTGTATCTTTCCCTTTCAAATCACTGGGTGAGAGGGTAAAGTTCTGAAACTATTTTAAAATAAATGTCTTTTAAAAACACGATCAGTTATTCTGACTAAATCCAATCACATTTTTAAATAAATTTCTGCTAAATAAGAATTGCTAATCAAAACAAATCATCTAGGGATCGGGGGCAATATTTTGACATAATTGTATTATGATTGTCTACTCAATTTGAAAAATATTAAGGTTCAAGTAAATTCTCCCAGTACTTTACTATACTCTTATGTTAAATTGGATTGCTGTCACTTAAAGGTTGAAGACCTTTTGAAGACTAAATATGAGACAACCCTCTTAATCTAAATAGGTTCTATTAATCCTTGCTCTTACTAAGCTCTAAGCTAGTTCTAGGTGAAGACATTGAGTTGGATGCATTTGTTAACTTATTAGATAAGTGGATTTCAAGCTTTGTAATGTCAGAGAACCCTTTCTTCAAATAAAATCTTATAATCACAAGCGAGTGAACCCTATAAACTTGAGCTCCTTCAATGGACTGGGAGCAGGAAGGGTAAGGCAGAGCATTGACTCACCCTGACTGCTTAAAGAAGTCATCATACTGTTTAAAGATGAGAAGTGAAGTGCAAAATATTTGTATTCACACGTATCTCTATACCAGTTAGGAGTATGCTTAAGCAGTATTTGCTAATAAGTACAAGGCCTGTGAAAAATATATTTTAAGTGTTTCTTTTAAAAAAGATGAAGCTTAAAATGTCTAAATACAAGTTATACACTTTAAAAAGATTTTAAAAATTTAACTACATATAAGATGATAAATGACAATTTTGCCTTTTAAAGAAGCAAGAAATCAGAGTCATTTTTTCAAGTTCCTATAATCCTATTTTGCACCAATATACCTATGGCACAGATGAAGCAAGACTGTCATTAGATTTAGCATCCATCATCGTCGCAATACAATTCAGTGTGCCGCCCTGTCTTGAGATTGAGAGAAGAGTAGGAAAAGGATTTGAGAACAGGAAGAGTGATGATGGTAAGAAAAAAGTTAAAGGCTACAGTATATTTAGCCTGAAGAAAAATCAGAATTGACAATGGTTTTCTCAAATGATGAGAAAGTTAATTGTAAGAAGGATGCTAAGTAATGTTCCTTTTCTCTACCCAAGTCAGAACTGCAGGAAATGAACTTCAACTGAACTCAGTGGTTTAAGCAACTCTGAAAGAAGACCCTCCCAGGACAGCGACAGAACGTAAACTCTGGAGCAAGCTCTCAACAGTAGCTTTGGATTTTTTTTTCCCTTACAGTTGTTGATTTTATTACTTTATTGTCTGAAGATACACAACAAACATGTTTTGGGGATGACTTTGCTGTAAGCTCGTTAAGGCTGGATTTAATAATGTCTTCTAGTTATACTTAGCTTCAAAATTCGATAATGATAGAACAGCTTAAACATTCCTATATTATTAGAAGATCATTTATTTAATATTATAAAACATTTATTGCCTCTATAGAGGGTTTCCATATGATGCACAAGAAACAGATAAGCATAATGCATCTAGAATAAGCTATTGTATATATTAGACTTGCTGAAAATAAACGATTTAGAGATCTTTCAATTGCTTGATTGAAACTGAAAAACTATCTCCTGTGGATAATAAATAATTATCAAAAAATTAAATAATTATAGTGGCAAGTTTTATACTTGTTTTACTAATTAGCTCATGATTTTTGTTCATATTTATCAAATACAAATGTTTCCAAATGAGAGCTGAGGTTAAGTGCTAACACAATATTGAATAAGTTGTCATATGAGGCCAAGAGCTCAGGCAGGAAGGAAAAATGAGGACCAACGTAAGACAGACACCTGTTTCTGATGCTTTCTTTCACAGCCTCACTTTCTCTCCTCTGTGTTCACGGTTTCCTACTCTTTTGGGTTTTTTTTACTCCATACAATTCGCCTTTGCAGAAGCTCCCTTCATAACACCCATTTCTGACTGAAGAGTAATCACTGGTTTGAACTGTGTGTTCCATCATAGCATGTTCTTTATGATCTTTGTAGTTGAATGGACTGATAAGCAGCTATTATTGCAAACAGAAAAAGTCAGTAACAAACCTCTAAATTAGAGGCTGAATTTTACATGTGTTCAGTGACGGGAAAAGTTTATTAAATCTACCTTTATTTGTTCCACAGAAATAATCAAATAGACAGTGGTGTATTGAACAGTCTTCTTTTCCCCACTGGTTGAATTGCCACCTTCATCATATACGAAATCCCCCAGAACACATGGGTCTGTTTCTGACCCCTCAATTCTGTACCATTTGGTTTATTTGTCTACCACACCGTTTTAGTTACTGTAAGTTTATAGTACATTTTGTAATCTGGCAAGGCAAGTCTTGCTTTGGTTCTTAATGTTTCAAAATCACCGCAACTTATTTTATAAGATATTTTACAGTTTTTATGGGTGAAGGGCCTGCATTACTGCATTAACAAATGAGGGGTCGAAGTAAGTTCTAAAGAAACTTACAAAGGAAATACAGACTTTATTTTTCAAAATCAATAATTATGATTTTTGACATACGGATCTCACTGGGATGTTCAGATTAATAAGATAAAAAATATGATACTCTTTTCATAGGAGGATGAATGAAAACTGCTCTTTCTCAAACATTACTACACAATATTTCGGAATGTATTAATATTGTTCTGCACACATTTACAATGTCTAATTCATCTATAAAATGTGGTGTTGAACTGAGTCTCTAAAATTAATTCCTGCTGTAACGTTGTATGAATTTACAAAAACTTTTATTAGCACAAACATTGTTTTGAGGCTAGAGATAAAAACTACAACTAAAAACAAGGAACAGTTTCAAAATTTCAAACCTCAACCACTTCTACCCTTCCCAGAGACAAAATGAACTGCATTCAGGACATGCAAGTTGACAAATGACTGCTGTGGTTCTTCATTACCAGTCAAGAGTCCTAGAGGTGACTTCACTGTTAGTCCCTTCACCTCCCAATACCACCAGGGAGATGGGCCAAGGAGCTGGAAATCAACCTAGAGGCCAAGCTGTGGTAGGAGATGAATTAGCTTTTTCAACTTCTCAAAGAAACTCGTTATGAACTAGGCAATATTTTTGTAGTGACAGCAAATTTTCATGCATATTTCCAAAGTTAGATAATTTAAACTAGAGAAGATTGGTAACAGTTGTCATAACCGGTAGGTTGGTTCAATGAAGGAATAAAAAGGCATTCAAATTATAAAAAAGCAAATTTGGAGAAATAGATTTGGTGGAAGACGAACAACAGAATAGATTATCACAATTTATTTAAAAAAAAACACTATTTTTTGATGAAATGGAAAAATCTGACTCATTGACATCAACTAAATAGATAAGTCTACTTCACTGGTAGACACTTTTCTCGTCTTTCTTTCCATACACAATTCAAAGATCACTTTATTCACAAAACTTCAGTTTTTGGCTAAGACTTCAACTCGCAACCTGTTAAATTTTAGAAATAATTTTTAAGAAGAAAAAATTATGTAGGCTTACCATTAAGTTATTTTTCTTATACGACGCTAGATGGCACTGGATAGTAAATGAATTTAGATCTATGCAGAAGGCCATGAGCAACTAGCCCCACACTCACCTGGACCTTGAAACAGATCACTAACTTGGTTTGCATAGTTCTTAAAAATAAACCCACTAACGTTCATTGCGCAATTGAAAAAGGTCACACAATTATTCTAAACTACTGGCTCTAAATTCTAAAACTCATATACGAAAAGCCATCTATGAACTTACTGTAGGAATTAAAAATTTACAGTACAATTAGAGTTCACAAGGTTTTCAGCTTTTACAAACAACTCTTATGGATAACACAAGAAAAGCTATAATGGTAACATGATTAAAGCATGTTACATACCAGTTGGAGTATATGATTAGGTATGAAAGAGCAAAACTGTGGAAACATTACAAGTTGAATTAAGCAAAATCTTAACCACGGGAAAATCAGTTTTCCCAACAAACATTTCAAGAGCATCTTGCATATGTTGTGCGTCAGACACCACTAAGGGTCAGGACACAAAAATACACTGATTCCTTTCCTAGCTCCAGGTTTCTCACAAATTGCTGCTTCTTCCTAAAAAAAGTCCTTTATTTTCCCTTCTTATCTACTAAGTGAGAGGTCTTCCAAGTCCTGTTAAAATAGCGCTCATCATCCAAACTGTTTCTAATGTGGTCCACCTCCAAACCCCCACTACCCCCATCAAACTCAGGATCCCAGAGCACGTTGGATTCCTCACTGCTCACACTGAAGACCATGTGCTGTAATTAATTAAGGATTTCTCAATTTCCTCTACTTGTTGTACATTCTTTGATAACTGAAAT